ACTCATGAGTTTTTACAGCCAAATTACAAGTCTGTTTACAGTTAAGTAGCAGCAAGTACTTTTAAAACAAGTACTGTAGATATTTTTACGACTGAGTTTGCACCATCAGAAACATACCGAGTATATGGCAGGGACCAGAACGCCAGGGAGGCTGTTTAGGGTTCATCTAAATAGGGCAAATAAAGGGGCTTTGTGTTTGCCTCATGGAGGCAGGTCCCCACCAGGCCAAGGCTTGGATTTTACACCATGAGGTCTTTGTATGTATACCAATGTGGGGTTCATCTGATAGTTTAAGGGACATAATTTGCTTCATTAGCTGTATTAAATCTTAGAATAATTAGGTTATAATTTTAAAAATTATTATGATCACGTAATAGAATAGTCAAATTCATAGCAACAGAAAGTAGAATGGCTGTTGCCAGGGGTTGCGGGGTGGAAGGAATGGGGAGTTGGTGTTTAACGGGGACAGAGTTTCATTGTGAGAATATGAAAATCTTCTGGAGATGGATGGTGATGATTTTGCACAGCAATGTGAATGAACTTGATGCCACTGAACTGTCCACTTGAAATGGTTAAGATGATACATTTTACGCATATTTTATAGCAATAAAAATTATTTAGAAGCTGAAGACATATATTATTGCCTTCAGGTAGAGGATGGAGATTTAGGATTAGGGAAGTAAGTATACACATATATATGTATATGTGTGTGTGTGTGTGTGTGTGTGTAAAACAATCCCTTTTCAAAACACATAGTTAACTTATTCTTTCACTTTCTCCTTTGATAACACCAATATCCAGATTTAGTACAAGATGCCTAAAACATTTCAATTTTATCATATGAGCCAAGTTTGTCTGAAAACAAGTGGTGGATGGTATTTTTAGTGTGGTAAATAGTTTTATTATTTTCAAGTAAAATCTCTGTAACATGGTTAACTCATGGAGTGAGATGTTCAATTCTGAAGAAACCTCTAATAGGATAACAACTTTCAAGTATTTTCTGTGATGGAATCACTCACAGTTGTTTGAGAACTTTGATACGTTTGTCCAACAAATACATAAACTATTCGTATTGAGTAAATCTTTTTACTTGAATCGTTTGGGTCATAAAGATGACTTACCCACCATTTCCAAGCAGCAAGAAACCCTTGGTTGTGAGAAGACAATTCTGAACAATATGTGTATCTGAAGAGTAATTTTCTCATTGACTTAAAACATTCTCTTTTGATTATAACCTGAAGAATTCATGTTTTCTCACAAAAAAGCAGAACAAGTAAATATTAATGAAAAGAGATGATAAAAGGAAATAGAGCAAGCGTAACTAATATTGATTATGATATTTATAGTTTTTTTTTTGTTTTAAAACAACAGAAATGTATTTCCTCCCAGTTCAAGTTCTTTATCACTACACTGCACTGTCTCATTCATATAACACCATTTATTTTTTGCATTTCCCTCTGAATGGTAAATTTCACAATGGCCAAATAATCTGTCTCTCTCATTCACTACTGTGTACTCAGGGTCTAGAACAATTCCTGGCATCTAATAGGTGCCTTGAAAAAAAATTATTGTGGTAGAATATACATGACAAAACATTTACCATTTTAACTTTTTTTTTTTTTTTTTTTTTTCAGAGACAGGATCTCACTTTGTTACTCAGGCTGGAGGAGTGCCGTGGTGCGATCATAGTTCAGTGTTCAGTGCAGCCTCAAATTCCTGGGCTCAAGTGATCTTCCTTTCTCAGCCTCCCAAGTAGTTGGGACTCCAGGCACACGCCACCACACTGGTTAATTTTTAAATTTTTTGTAGAGATGGGGTCTCACTATGTTGCCCACGCTGGTCTCAAACTCTTGGCCTCAAGTGATCTTTCCACCTTGGCCTCCCAAAGTGCTGGGATTACAGGCATTAGCCACTACGCCCTGCCATCATTTTAACCGTTTTTAAGTGTACAATTCAGCAGCATTGACTGCATTCATACTGTTGTGCAACCATCATCACCATCCATTTCCAGAGCTGTTTTTTTTTTTTTTTTTTTTTTTTTTTTTGGCAACAAACTTCTCAACAGTAAAGCAAAGACCACAGTGGAGAACATTTTTGATAAACTCAAGGATTTGATCCAAGGAGTTTATGAACCAAGGCTATCCCTCAACAGATTTGAGCATGCAAAACTCAGGCGATCCTATGCTCTGAAACTTTCTTTCCACAGGACTATTCAAGGAGAAATGCTTCATCCAAATCAGAGAGAACTGGGGAAACATTGGCCAAATGACTAATAGTGGGTCTTCAATATATTTAATTATAGATCCCAAACTAAAAGAAATGTAGGAACAATTAATTTTTTATTGTCCTGACGAATATGTCGGCCCTCCATATCTGTGGGTTCCACATCTTCAGATTAAAACAACTACAGATAGAAAATATTTTTTAAATGCAATAGTAAAAAATACAAATAAAAACAATAGAGTGTAATGACTGTTTACACAGCATTTACACTGTATTAGGTACTATAAGTAGTCTAGAGTTGATTTAAAGTATACAAGAGGATGTGCATAGGTTATATGCAAATACTAAGCCATTTTATATAAGGGACTCGAACATCCATGGAATTTGATAGGGGAGGTGTTGTCCTGGAACTGATATCCCATGGATACCGACTATATAATAATACAACTTTAAAAACTGGGAGAAAGGAGAGAGGAGAAGTAGAATAAGCACATTGATTGCTGCATAAGAAATAGATGGGAATTATAATTTTTAAGAATGCTCTATAACTTAAGAGTTGACAAACCAAATAACAAATCTTCCCAGAGAGGGAGCATTCCTCCAAGCATTACTGGCCTCCCAGAGACTCAAGGTAGTTCTTTGCTCACCATGGAGGTGCTGTTGTCAAGAGCCATGAGCTTAGCTGGTGCTTCTTTGTCTCCATAATAGGATGGGGCTTCAGTTCAGGGTAGGAAGATGGAAGTAGGATATACTTGTTAGGATAAATATTTGTTCTAATTGTGTGTGTGTGTGTGTGTGTGTGTGTGTGTGTGTGAGAGAGAGAGAGAGAGAGAGAGAGAATTAAGTAGGGACTTGGGTTTCTGCTTCAGAATCATGAACTTCACTGGCTTCTAAACTCTTTCTTAGCTCAGAAATGCAGTATCAATGTCCTGACTGGGCTCACCCACTACTGTGTTATGTGTCATATTCCCAGACAGAAATCAACATCCCTGAAACATAATTCTATAAGGGTGGTGCTTAATCTAGTTTTTACCTTCCTGGGCTTTGAATTCCTGATTCTAATTGCAAGACAAGGCCCATAAATAACAGGTATAATAATACTCATTTAATGTAGCCAACACTTATTGAGTTATCATTCTGTCAGGCACTAGGCTTGTAAAGCAGTGCCTAAATGTAGTTAACATTTAACTGTTACTGGTTTTATGTGCATTGCCTCATCTAACGCTCACAAAAGACCCTATGAAGTAGGTGTTATTACTCTTCCCATTTCACAGCTGAAAAAACTGAAACTGAGATTAAGTATATTGCCTAATATCACATGGTTAGCAGGTTACAGAAAGGACTTGAATCAGATTTGTTTGACATCACAGCCCCTTAGCTTAACCACTCTGTTAATTCTGGAGGGATCTTTAACTCAGAATTGCATAAAGATGCAGCGAGGCTGTTAGCAATGCCCAAGACACACTGCATTTTGCAGCTGTAATCTAAGATAAGTTTGACATCATCCTCACCAAAATTGAGATATTGTAAAAAGAAAAGTTTGTTAATTTATTTATCTTATGAGGGGAGTCAATACTCAGCTTTTAATTCTAAACACTAGTAAATAAGGATCCAGTTTCATCACTTACAATGTTTAAAAGTAATTATCTAGTTTTTTTTTTTGTAAGATGTACATGCAAATTGGTAAGAAAAAGACTCACATCCAACCTCAATTTAACAGAAAAATTGGAAAGGCATCACCAGGACAGCCATTTAAAAATATGGACCGGCCACGCGTGGTGGCTTATGCCTGTAATCTCAGCACTTTGGGAGGCTGAGGCAGGGAGATCACAAGGTCAGGAGATCGAGACCATCCTGGCTAACATGGTGAAACCACGTCTCTACTAAAAAAAAGTACAAAATATTAGTCGGGCGTGGTGGCGGGTGCCTGTAGTCCCAGCTACTCGGGAAGCTGAGGCAGGAGAATGGTGTGAACCCGGGAGGCAGAGCTTGCAGTGAGCAGAGATCGCCACTGCATTCCAGCCTGGGGGACAGAGGGAGACTCTGTCTCAAAAAAAAAAAAAAAAAAAAATGGACCACAAGTAAATGAAGTTTACTAGAAATCAAAGAAATACAAATTAAAACTTAATAATATACCACTTTATTCTATCAAATGGAAATATTTTAAAATTAATAACACACAGTGTTTAAAAAGGTATGAGGAAAGGAAGGAATCATTAGAAATAATTCAAAGAGCAATTTGGCCAAATATATCATAAGCTTTAAAATCTGCATACTTTTTGATACAGCAGTTCTTTTCCTTCACCTAGGACTTTGTAATACCATATAATGCAAAAAATATAAAAACAGTGAACAGCAGCATATATAGCTACCAGATTTTTCATAGTAATATTGAATCAGGGAATCGGTTAAATAAACTTTGGAAGATTCTTGCAATTTAATACCATGTGGCTATTAAACCCAGTGGAATATCTGTAGCTGTAGAAAAGCACAATGACTTAGTAAAGAAAATAGAACTGACAAAGTAATATGGATTTTATTGCGTTCTGCATGTGTACGTGCACTTTTCTCTATGTAAGTTATATTTAAAGTTTTTAAATGACCATGGATGGTATGGCTTCATTTTTGTAAAGTATGCATAGATACATCATATGCAGAAGAAAATCTTCAGAGTGGAATACCCTAAAATACCCACAAGACTATCTCTGGGTGGTCGTTTATGGTTTTTTCCCACTTTATTGTGATGTGCTTTTTCTACAATGCATGTATACTGCAAGCACAATCATAAAATTTTATTAAGTAAAAGAGAGTGGAGAACCAATCTGTTGTGGCAGAAATACAGTCTCAGCCATTTCCAAAATCAACAGTTCCTTCTCGGGTCACCTGGACCGAAACTCTGCCAAGGACAGGCTGAGGTCTGGAAAACAGTAGACCACTTGGTGATCCTGGAGGAACCTGGGAGCCACGCCGCTGGACACTCGATGTTTGGTTTCTGAGTGCGACTGGTCCAAACAGTGCGTGCCTCCACCTGTCTCTCTGACTTATTGCTCTGAAGCACGGCTACATGTCACCCCGGAGTTCGCTAGGCTCCTGCTCATGGGCTGTGGGCCAATGTTTAGTTACTGAAGGTGTTGTATTTTCTGACAGTCAGAATTGGTTGCTAGATGCAGTGAAACATGACGACAACTGAGGTGTGGGCTGCAGACCTTCCTTTGATGTCACAGGGAGGAGAGAACTACAGGGGAGGCTATTCTTAAACATTGGAGCTCTCTTTCACTAACGACGGCCTTTGCTTGGCTTTTCATTCTGTGTAACTTCATCTGGAATTCTGTTTTCTCATTATTACCTGTTTCCAGATATTTCATGAAAGATTTCAACTAGTCCACTTGTCTGATTATTCTGGCCCCTTCCAGACAGACCGGCTCCAAGGTTATGAGGTAGTTTGGACTCATCTCGTGGCTTTATCAGGAAGGTTTGCAGAAGAGTGAATTCGTCTGTACGAAATTCCTTACCAAGTGGCGGCTTTTAGAGCCAACGTGTCTGAGTCTAAAAACAGCAACTTGGTTAGACAGGGCCTCACCCAAGGGCATCTTCCAGGAAAGTGCTCACATTACCTGCTGACTTCTTGAGTTGGGGTTCAACAGGCTAATTCACTTTTAATTTTCCTTGTTGGAAGCTGGTGGCAACAGGGAGAACATTCGGAGTTGGAAAAGTGCAATCCAATCCAGCTGCTCTTGCCTTGACCTAGATGTAGGATTTGGTTTCTTTCCTTTTTTTTCCCTCCTTGGTTTTCAACATGGAAAGTGCTTTCCTATGGCCTACCAGCACACAAAGAAGGATTCTCTGAAGGATCCATGGAATAGAGGAAGAGTTGGAGACAGGAAGCAATCGCAGGCTTAACCAGAAATGCACATCGAGCTGGAGACGGAAGACTCAGACCAGGGAAGACAGATGTTAGGTCAAAATAGAAGAAAGATGGCAAAATGCCCAGTCTGGGAAGATTAACTTTTAATGGAGGCTAGCAAGAATTATAAACTTAGGTTGGTACTTGCTATCTGCAGGAAATAGTTAACTTATCATGTGCTGGGTTTAAGAGATATTGCAAGGCCTGCCTTCAAAAATATGGAACATTTTTATAATGACATAAGCTTGAAAGTTGATCCATGCTTGCAAAGTATACTGCAATGCAAACGGAGAGGGGATATAATGGCAGTTAGAAGGGAAGTGATGAGAAGTAAGAATGCCTGCCTGTGTGTCTAGTACTGATCAAGGATTCTAGTGACCTCTCTGACACTGTTATTTTGGTGACTTTGGAAGATCCAGTCAGCCTTTGCTCTATTTGGTTCCTCTGTATTTGCATCCATTGATCAGTGCTAATAATAATGGTCGCCCCATGTTCCCCTTTATGCAAAGCAGGAAGCATACTTCCTGTACCTCTCTATGACCAGTACCCAGCATAGCCCATGGCACACAACAAATCCAAAATGTATACACTAATTTGGCATTTATTTAATGATTGCCTTTTACATATAGAAATGATGGTAGGCCCCAGGAAAAGTCAAAATGGCTTTACAAAGAAATTTTTGATTGGTTTGTTTGTTAATAGTAAAGACCATCCTGGCACTGGATTGTGTTTTCAGGAAAGAAATATAACTCAGAGAAGGAGGAGGTTCTGATAATAGGTGCTAAAAATAAATCTGGGCTTTATTAATTTAAACCTTTGTGCCCCCTCCTATCTTCATTTCCCTTCCCTTCACCATGGCTGACAGGCATAACTTTCCATTCTTTCTGAATACTTACCCCAAAGCAGCCATGGGTGACTTTCCTGATATTACTTCGGGGGTGGGATAAGTTCAGAAGAACTAAGAAGATAAACAACAAACAAAGCAAAACATTACAAAATAAGCAAATAAACAGTACAACCCACCAAAAATTGTGTCAGAATTCTAGATTATTAAGACATTGTACTTGCTGTTTTGAAAATACTCTTCTGAAGTTTGAGTACAGTTCAAAGTCAATAACATTATTTTAAAATCTTCTATGTGAGAGCTGCTACAAGAACAATTGTACAGTGATTAAAATTAAAAAAAATATTTAGTTGGTTGTGGTGGCACACACCTGTAGTCCCAGTTATTGGGGAGGCTGAAGTAGGAGGATCAACTGAGCCCGGGAGGTCAAGGCTACAGTGAGCCGTGATTGCGCCACTGCACTCCAACCTGGGTGACAGAGTAAGACCCTGTTTAAAAAAAAAAAAAAAAAAAGTCTCTCAACTTTGGTACTTTGGCGCCAGATAATTCTTTGTTGTGGGAGCTGTCCTGTGCATTGCAGGATGTTTAGCAGCTTCACTGGCCTATATACACTAGATGCCAGTAGCATCCCCCCAATTAGTGACAGCCAAAAATGTCTCCAAACATTGCCAAATGTCATGCAAATCATGCTTAGTTAAGAACCATTGGTACAAAGGAACCATGAAAAGCAGTTTTCTTGGTCTTGTTTCATACATCCTATGTTCACATACTGAAGGAATTGTAGTAACTACGAACTCATGCAGGAGGGAGGGCGTGGTGTGTGTGTAGATGGACGAGTGTGTGTGCACAGGTGTCAGCTAATTATATATGAAGATTGGTGGAAATGGTGAAAATTTAAATTTAAGATCTGTTGGTATTTTGTCCTAAACACTCTTCCCCAAGGTCTGGCATTTCAAGAAACTATTGGCTTTTATATGACAAATTTACTGCACTGAAATTTATTGAGGAATAAAGGATGCTTCACTTCAACTTACTGTGACAGCTGGCTTTTTTTTTTTCTTGAAGAACTAGGCCTTACACATTATCCTACAAAAGTTTTAATTCAATGTTTACAATACCTATCTTTCTATTAATTTAGATTGGCCAGATTTATGATACATTAGGCCTGTATTTTATGTGTTATTTTTAAATTCTTGCCCATTTTATGGTACTGGGGTCAAAATTTTACTAATTCAGATGATTTTAGAGGTTTATGGTTGTTGTATCTTGCTTGTGTGACATTTTGTTAGTTATATCTATGATTTATCTGTTGCTGAGTCCTTGGTCAGGAACACAACTCCCAATTATCCAACCAATTATAACATTGTTCCATGGGAAAACTTTAGCAGCTGAAACTGTTGACTCAGTGTAATAAAAAAGAGCAGCTTAATATCAGATAAACTAAAATAAAATTTTGTTTTGGTTGACAATTGCCAACATTCACAAGGCAAGTCCTGAGAAACTCCATCTATCATTAACTTATACTGTGCAATTTCCTGTCCTAGATGGGCCTGTGCTGATACCATTTTTGTAGTCAAGATGTGTCTATCTTTGTAAGAATTGTTCTTAGTTTCCAAATTAAAAACAGTTGCTTCATTACTACATGACACAGTAGTCTGTGTTCTGAAGGACTACATGTTCAGGCAACTAAACATTTCCAAAAAAAAAAAAAAAAAAGCTGACTTCACCATAATGCAACGTGGAGTTCACTATTTAGTTTTCACAATAGAATGCTACTTTGCTGTCAGTCAACTTGTACTCCATCAATATTTAATGATGCTCTTTAGATACTTGATGCATTTGATTGAGAATACACCCCTGATCTGACTGCTCCAGTCCTGCCATCTCCTGCTATCCTTCACCATCCTTCCTGACTACTGAATTGCTGGATCCAACTTTCTTTTTTCTGAGACGTAATCTTGCTCTGTCGCTCAGGCTGGAGTGCAGTGGTGCCATCTCGGCTCACTGCAACCTCTGCCTCCCGGGTTCAAGTGTTCTCCTGCCTCAGCCTCCCAAGTGACTGGGACTACAGGGGTGTGCCACCACGCCCAGCTAGTTTTTTGTATTTTTAGTAGAGATGGGGTTTCACCATGTTAGCTGGGATGGATCCGACCTTTGATGGACACACCATAAGCAGTGGGGCTCAGGACATGGAGAAATGCCATCATATGTCACTACGCCACATACACATTGATTTTATAACACATCCTGGTTTTAAAAATGTTAAAATGGAAAAAAATTGTACATCTTAAAACTAAGAACATCACATTATCCCCCAAATTTCCATTAGTCCACCCAAAGTAAATATACAATTTAAATAAAAACTGTACCCTTGCTATGAAAATTCAATTTCAAGATAATTTTCATTGTCCCATATTCCCAGTTGCATTTTTGCTTTTAGAAAGAAATTCCAGAGCATGTACTACAAGAACGTGTTAATGGGATTTTGCCAAAATAATGCTGCCTACCAAATAATCTCAAAGCTTGGTAGCTGACAACACAAGCATTTGCTCTCCCATTCACTATTTTGCATGCTGACTTGCAGTTCAGCTGGTCTAGAATGGACTCATCTTGTTGTCTTTGCTTCAGGCTGTGGGCTGGCTGGATTCAGATCTGCTATATGTGTTTTTATTCTGGGGCCCAGGTTAAAGGGGCAGCTCTATCTGCAGTATGCTCCTCTCATAGCGAATACCAAAGCACAAGAGGCAAACTGAAATGCACAAGCTCATGGAAGACCTCTTCATGTCATGGCCACTATCATTCCATTCACTATAGAAAATCATATGGCCAGGTCTGGCATCAATGAAGTCAGGAAAACAAATTTCACCCACACAAGAAAGGGAAATAAATAATTATTTGCTGCACAATAATCCTATCACAAAATTATGGCATCTGACAATGAGACTAAAAATGCTGTTAAGTCAAGATTTTTTTTTTTTTTGGTTTTTTTTTTAAAGCTTACTCTTGAGTTAACTCAGACAACACCACTTCTTTTTTTTTTTATTTTTTTTTTATTTTTTTGAGACGGAGTCTCGCTCTGTCGCCCAGGCTGGAGTGCAGTGGCCGGATCTCAGCTCACTGCAAGCTCCGCCTCCCGGGTTCACGCCATTCTCCTGCCTCAGCCTCCCGAGTAGCTGGGACTACAGGCGCCCGCCACCGCGCCCGGCTAGTTTTTTGTATTTTTTAGTAGAGACGGGGTTTCATCGTGTTAGCCAGGATGTACTTTTGTCTAGGGATTTTCCCCTTCCTCTCTTTCAGTCCCTAATGTCTGGATAGGGTTCCATGCTTGTCCTAAGAGTGGCACACATCACTCAAAGTCAGATTACATTTCTTTTGTCACAGTGCTCAATGCATCTTAGGACAAGCCTTATAGGACTTTCTTTTCAGCCCTCTACAAAGCCAGATCTCCTGGGCTTTTCAGTTTTGTCACCCAATTAATGGCTATGCTTGATATCTCATATTTAGAAACTTTACCATGGATAAGATCTTTACACAGAAATGGAGTATAGTAGAGTATAGTAAGTATTAGATCTTAAAATATGAAAATGCTAGGCTGAGGAAGTAGAGTGGAAGGCACTGAGAACCTCTATTCATAGCTTAGAAGTTGGTGATCCATGTTGTTTGGTAGTGTAGCCATATCTTACACTGCTCTATCTCAGACCTCAAACCATAGGCCTATAGAGGCTGCTGCATTATGGAATTTGGAGGAGAAATTCAGGATATAGAAACACATGCCTGCCTTTTGTGGCCTTTTAAAAGGCACCATAAAGGTTCCACCAGAATTAGACAAGCCTATGTTGAACCTTCTATATCTGAAATTCAGAGGAAGGAAAGCACAATTTGGCTAAGAGATGCCTTTCTGCATGAGCCCTGTAAAATAAGGAAGATGAGAATTGGGTGATCTGGAATTTTGCAGGGCTGGAAAAGTTTATTCTTACCGTAATCATAAATTAGTGCAAACCCAATCAGGAAGGTAGGGATCGTATCGGAAAATACCTTTAGAATGTGGGGCTAACTTCTTTTCCGATCACTGCTGAGCACATCTTGTTCCCTACGTGACAAAGAGGATAATGACCCACATTCTTAAGGTGCGGCTGGTTGGTGCTTGAGTGCCAGATGAATTTTCTTACCTCAACTATTGTTTCAAATTGCTCTGGGCAGTAAGTCAAAGGTCACTAAGGGAAAGACTTCAGGGATGGACAGAGCACTGCTCTTATCACTGAGAAACAGAAATTCTCAGGCTGGAATCCAATTTTAAGGATCATGACTCAACAAGATATCTGGAGACTGACTTATGGAGTTCAGTATTTGAAACTGGGTAAGCCCTCAAATGTTCCTAAAGGAGGAGCCAGACAATTTGTAGGAGGAATTGTCTATGAATGTTTAGTCTCTAAGAAAACCCTGAGGTCTAAGAAATGTTGTCAGTGACAACAGCAATAACAACAACAAAAACAGGCTAATAATGGGGACAGTTTTGGCAATGCCATGTTAAGATATGGTCACAGAAAACAAAAAATCAAGAAGAGGATTCTACCAAAAGCAGAAAAGGTGGCCAGAAAGGCAGAGGACAGGAGCCATTCTCTTAGAGGGAAGAGCAGGAAGAACTTGGCAAACTGGGCAAAGGAACTATTCTGCTGGGACAGGCAGCCCTTCCCATTCCTGTCCAGCTGTGTGTGCATTCATTAATTCAGCAAATACTATTGTACCTACTGTGTTGCAGACAATGTAGAAATACATAAGTAAATAAAATAGAATTTGATACATGCAGTGAAACAATGATTACTAATGTTTCCCATCACACCCTGTTTTTTTTTGTTCTCTCTCCACCGTTGTATATTGGGCATGTTGTGTACCTTGTGAGGACTGCACATCACTCATTAATCTTAAACTTGAAGTGGGGTTTAACCATCAAATGATATTTTTCTTTTTCTTTCTGGAGACTGAGTGAGTATATTATATATGTCATATATGGATGTGGGACATGCGCTCTCTCTCTCTCTCTACACACACACACACACACACACACACACACACAAGCACTAGAATTGTATGTGAATGGTAGGCAGCCAAGAGGTTAACTGCAGTGGGTGGTTGCTATTTGTTTCTCCATCATCTGTTTCTTCTTCTTGCAGTACCAGACCTAATATTTTGTTTGGGATCTACTTCTTCTCAGTCCACTTACAGCTCTAGATATGGGTCCACTTACAGCTCTAGAAATGAAGTGCATGATGTAGGCCTAAGTCTTTCTGATTGCAGTGGTTGATTGAAGGATGGGTATGAATGGAACAAGTCCAGTTAAAGTGAATCCAAGGAGTTGAACCATGTTAGGAAAGTCTCTCACTAGTTACTACTGGATTTTAACCTGGCGTTAGGTAGCTCATGAGCTTCTGACATCTTGTGAGGATGAAGGAGGAGTCTTTTTGAGAATGAAGCCAATACAGATGAAAATAGATAAACTGAATCCTGATAACATCATGTGGATCATGGCATCCTACCATAACTGAATCTAGGTCTACCCTCGAATAGTTCTGTTTCTGAATCAGTAAGCTGCCATTTTAATTACATTCTATTATTTGGTGTTTGATTTTTCAATTACTTAAAAAAACAACTTTATGTGTGTGCATGTGTTTGTGTGTATGTGTACAGAAAAGACAAAGACATGCTACTGGCACTTTTTGAGTGTCAGACTATGTAGGCTTTAACATTTATTATTCATTTGTTTCTTTATATACACAGATATTATACTTTAAAAATGTCCATACATGAAGCTATCGACAAAGCCATATGGAGTCTGGAGTAGTTACAGAATTCCAAACATGTGATTGATAGACCGTAACTAAGAGTGCAGAATGTCAGAGTCTATTGATTCAAGTAAATAAGGAGTCATAAAAAACGCTGTAGATAAAAGAGGGCCCCAGGGACTGAATTTGTTAAGTAATCTTCTTGTCTGACAAAGTAGCCTAGGAATATTCAACACAAAAATAAGCTATTATTCAGCAGACCCAGTGAGGGACATCAAAAGTTCCTCAGTCATACAGTGTAGACTTCTTTTCCTCGGGATTGAGAAGCATCAGCTCCTCATGGGGGAAGACTTTGGACAAAAATTCATGGCTGTCAACTCTAGTAAACTTTTTTTGTATCTTTGACTCTGCTAATCATTATAAAATGACCTTACAATGTTTTCTATAATTTAAAAATACTATGTAATTCCCTTTAGAAGAAGGAGCAGTTCTTGGTTTTATTACCCATCTTACCCACAGTTTCTACCATACATAAGTTAGGGTAGTAGGTTACTCTTATAAAAATATTTCCCCAAATTTAGAGGCTCAAAGAACAAGAAGTTAATTTTTCTCTAGAAGTTCAAGATGAGAGGTCAAGGTCGCTGGGATGTACGCAGCCACGCAGATTCCTTTCCTTTTGTGACCACATCATCCTTTAGGGCCTCGCCATCATCTGCTTAGTAGAGGCTCAGTTACAGCCATGCCCAGGCTCTAGCCTCCAGGAGGATAGAAGAAGCCGGTTGTCTCAGTTTAAGCTGCTATAACAACAACGACAACAACAACAACAACAACAACAAACTTGGTTCTTATAAACAACAAACCTGTGTTTCTGACAGTATTGGAGACTGAGACATCCAAGAACAAGGCAATGGCAGATTTGGCCTTTGGCGAGGGCCCTCTTCATGGTTTGCAGATGGCCACCTTCGTGCTTTGGGTCCTCAGATGGTAGAGAGAAGAAACTCTGGCATCCCTTTCTCCTCTCATAAGGGCACTAGTCTTATAATGAGGGCTCTGCTTTCATGACCTCATCTAATCCTAATTATCTCTCAGAGGCTCCATCTCTTAATACCATCACACTGGGGGTTAGGACTTCTCTATATATATTTGGGCTGGATACAATCATTCAGTTCATAATACCCATCCACATCTGAAGGCCTAGATATAGGAGGGGCAGGCACTTTCCATTGGAAAAAACCCAGTTAGAGGATCACTACATAGGGAGGTGGGAAATGTGTCCTAGCCATGAGCCTAGAGGCAGGAGAATAAAATTGGGTGGAAAATAAGTCTCTTCATCTCCTCATACCCTGCTGAATAGGGTCTTTGGTAAAAAGGGGAAAATAGGCCAGCCACGGTGGCTCACGCCTGTAATCCTAGCACTTTGGGAGGCCAAGGCAGGTGGATTGCGAGGTCAGGAGTTTGAGACCAGCCTGACCAATATGGTGAAACCTCATCTCTACTAAAAATACAAACATTAGCTGGGCATGGTGAGATGTGCCTGTAATCCTAGCTACTCAGGAGGCTGAGGTAGGAGAATCGCTTGAACCTGGGAGGCAGAGGTTGCAGTGAGCAGAGATCGTGCCACTGCACTCGGGTCTGGGTGACACAGCAAGACTCTGTCTCAAAAAAAAAAAAAAAAAAAAAAAAAGGATGGGGGGATATAGAAACTATGTTAGTCTATTACAGCCCCAAAGCTATGATGATAAGAGGAAAGTCAAGTTAGCATGGGAATAATCTACTTGTTTTAGAGACATTACCTTCTGTCAGATGTTGTAACCATTCTCCAGGTTGAAATGCAATGGAACCCGCTGAGTGAGCCCAGAATTCTGGAAGACGATCGAAATAAAAGGATGGAACAAGGAGGGAGGGGAGAGAGAATGTATTCCTTGGTGCCCATCCTGGCTTCAGAAATCTTTGTTTATGCCTGAAATTCCATTCTTAGTGGTTCATTTCTTTGGTATTCAAATAACCAAACAACTAGAGTCCCTTAGAGTTTAAATTCCACAAGACAGGGTAATACTTTTAATCTCTTATATCATTGTTTTATACAAATATGCTTATGTCATTGTCCGAAGGATCTGGTATCTGTGGGACTCTGAATAGATGAAAAAGTTCCCTCACAAGTGGTGGTGAGAGAAAAGTTACCTGACACACTCTGGTTTATTTCACAAGCATGGAGAGCCATCCACTTAGCTGTTGGGGTTTTCCTGAGTTTTATCTTTCCTCTCTCCTCATTCTAAGTGTTCTTTCTGGATGAGCTCACTGAATCACATGCCTTTAACCACCTGCTAGCTACAGATAACTCACACATTTATTTCTGTACCCCTGACCTCTCCTCAGGCTTCTACTCAGTTGCTCAGTGCCTACCAGATATCTCTACCTGCATGTCCCATGGGCACTTCAAACTCACCCTGTCTAACACTCTACTCATCTTTCCCTAAAAGTAAGCTTCCTCCTGGATTGTCTGTTATTTGTTGGTGCCAGCACCCACCCAATTATTTCAATCAGGCACTGGGAAGTTACCCTTGAATCAACCATCTCCACCATTTTCCATTTAATCATTCAGAAAGTCCTATTCATTTTACCTCCTAAATAACCCCAAACTGGGGGGGTTCTTAATTTATCATTTATAATCCTGTATACAGAAGTGTTATAACGACTGATTGACAGGTCTCCTTGTCCTAGCTTTGCTCCCTCCTCATTGCCACCACTCCAATACATTTCGGATTGTTGCTAATAAGATATGCAGAACCCCAACCCAAGGTTTCTTAATTTATCTTTTATGATACCATACACAGAAATGTTACAATAACTGATTGACAGGTCTCCTTGTTCTAGTTTGCTCCTTCCCCACTGCCCCCACCCCAATACATTTTCAGATTGTTGCTAGAAGGACCTGCCTGACCATCTTACTTGTGTAATACCTTTCCACAACTCCCAATTACCTGACAAAGTCCTACACGTTCAGAACGCATCCAGGCCTTTCACAGCCTAGCTCCTCCTGATTCTTCACACCCATCTCCCAGAGCTCCTTTAACATCCCTTCTGCACCTTCCCTTCTAGCATCAGCTCCAATTGCCTGAACACATCTTGCTGATCCAGTGTGTGGCTCATGCTTCTTTCTTCCTCCATAGTTTTTATCATGGTGTTGCCTCCTTTTCCTTTATAACTCAGCCTGAGAGCGCCTTTTTGGAGCTTTCTTTCTTGACTATCTTCTTCCACCTCCTCTACTTGGTTAAAGGCCCCTCTGTGTGCTTCCACAGTCCCCTATACATTCCAGAATTCCTCCACTATGACCTTGTGTCGAAGTCATTTATATTTCTAGCTCACCGGCTAGATTGTCATTTTCTCAGTGAAGGAACCTTGTCTTGGTCTCTTTGGTTTCCTAAGTGCCTAGATATGGCATATATGATGCCCATGATAAATATTTCTCCCTTTGAATTGGCTTCTTCTGTGAGGAAAGTATGCCCTGTGCAGGACAACTGACAATTGCATGTGAGATTAACAAGAATATCACCAGAAGCCCTGGAAAGTTCGATATCTGCTATCGCCCGACCTGTACCTGCTGATATTGCCAAAAAGAAAGGGCTGAAGGAAAGGGTGGGACTTCTCCAGGAATGACTGAAAAATGCACCCCCAACTCAGCCCATTTGGAAGTGAGGTGGTTCAGCTACTTCCTGTTGGCATGTGGTCATGTCAGAGCCTCAGACATGAATTGGGCTTCAGTTTTATTGTTGTTTGCTGGTTGGTTGGTTTTATTTCTTCTTTCTCTTCCATCATTCTTGGTCTAAGCAGGAAAATCATCCTCCCAAATTGTTGATTGGCGGATCTTCTATTTGCCAATGTGTCTCTAGATCTCCAAATGAAAGAGAAAGGATGGACTACCTTTAGATATTATCAGAGAGCGAAGGAGAAACAGCATGAGAGAATGTAGCCAAGAGCGAAATAAAAATAAAATGAAAGATAAGCAAGTTTAAGGTTTCAATACTTAATACCTTGTTTTCTAAAAGCCTCAGAAGGAAAAGAAAAGAACAAAATGCCGAGCATGTTCATTTGGATGGTAATGACATTGCAGTCCCATTGCTGTGATTAGTATCCCTGTGCTGTGCTCACTTGAAGGAAGTGGACAGGTTTGTGTTGGCCCTGAGGGTAATGTTAGCTCCACCCTCTGTGCCCATATCTCCCATCGCGGGTTGGATGTTATTGGCACCTTCCTGCATTTGCCAGTGCTCTAGGGATATAGATGGAAATGTGTTAATATAAATTGAAAATATTCATGTTGTAACAATCACTTTAGTAGGTGCTTGCAAGGTGAAAATTCTGTTTTTAAATTAAATTTTTTTATTATTTTCTTTTTTACAAAAGAATATATTATTTGGAAGAACAGTGAATAAATTTGTATGTGGACTATAGGGGCCTTCTAAAAGCAAAGAAGCACAGGTCCCTGAACCTTTTGTTTTCAAAATGCACAGTTGCTGCACTCTGCCAGGGTGGAAAGGTCCTAGTGAGAGGGAATAGCAAGGTTTCTGAAATAAAACCTCCATGGGGGTAGAGAGAGGCTGGGGCCCAGGTGCATCCTCGTACTGAGACAGGTCATCAAGGTGCTCAGATCTCACCTAGGTGACAGCAGGCGGCACTGGGAGACCAGGCTTGGTGTAGGCTGGAATACTCTTCACCTTGAAGAACTGCTGAAGCTAGGTCAGGACTCTAAACTTTCTCCAGTGGCAAAGAAGAGCCCAGTAAGCAAGAACAGCACAATCAGACGCCTCGGCTTTTCTCAGCTGTCATCTGCTGCAGAGGCCTTTGTCTGCTTCTAAAGCTACCAACCCCTGGGGGTGGTGACTGTAACCTCCTGCTTTTCGTGGGCCTCAGCTCGAAAGTGAGGCTGCCCACTGCACTTTGAGAGGTTTGTGTGGGTGTGTGCGTGTATGAGCATGCAAGGAAAGACTCTAGACTGGAGATGAGGACAATCTCACAATAGGGAGGTGGCAGTTCCAGCCATGTATTTAGAACATTAAAATTAATTGCCATCTTTTTCACTCTACCCTGGAGAAGTTGCATATATCCATAACATGAATATAAATCGTAGTGAGGTCAGTTAAGTTGCAGATTCAAAAGAGACATCAGTGTTCCTATATTAACTCAAATGTGTTAGAAAGGAAAAAAATGTGTCTTCCCGTATTTGTCACCCCCTGAATTGTTTCCATGGTTATCCAATGCTATGAGGGGAGACACTTGGTTTTTACTCCAGGGTTTAGAGGGATGAGGAGTTCCTTAATGATTAAGCTTAGCATTCTTCCAAATCGGACTATGTCTTCTAGCGACCCCTTTTGGGCTTAGTAAAGTATCTGTCACCTATCCCAGAGTTTCTATAAAATTGATCAGGAAAGAGGTGATGCTGTTTCACCCGGCCTCCCTGGTGGTAGGATCACCAGCACTCCAAGTCCTAATTTCAGGAAACTCTGGCTCTTTGCCTGTGCTTTTTAAGACCTGGGTGCTTCTGAAGAAAACACCTTCTTCATTAGGTGGCTCTTGCAGTCTGCCTCAGATTCACGCCTCAGGAGTCAGAGAGCCTGACTCATGGGGCAGGGTTCTTAGTCCTTGCCAAGGAGACAGAGACAGCAGCCTCAGGCAAAACTGACATCACATGCATACTTTAAAAGGAAGCAAAAAACACAAGGTTTCTTTACTGAGAGTGTAGAAATCGACAATGACTGTAGCTTCTCTTGAAATAATCCACTGGTATATTTCACTTCATCCAAAATAGAGCGAGATTCAAGGGGAGGCCTCATGCGCTTTGGGTTAATAAATTGAAAGCTGCCCTTGACAGTGCCTTGAGTTGGAGTTAGCAACTTTCTCATAATGATGAGTGGAGTTTACCTTGTAGTAAGTGCCACACATAGCTGACTTGCCTTCAGACATATTTCTTTTCGGGCCTCTCTCTTTCCTCTCTATGCCCCAGTGGTATTTCCTGCCCTTTGGCTGTTTTACACAGGCATGGGCAATACCAAGTAATTACTAATAGGAGATTTGCCCTCTGAGCTGTCTTGAAAGTGCCCAGCTCTTAGTTACTGGACAGACCCTTTGGTACAAAGCCATTTTGTGTGTGCTTCTGGGAAGATTAGAAAGCTGAGATGGGTGGAGAGGTAGACATGAAGGCCAACACTTTCAAGATTCAGTTGGAGCCTCGTTAAAATAGAAATTGAGGGAGACTCCTTAGCCTGTAAATGTGAAGAAAGAGGAGAAAGAGATAAGCAGTGTTTTGTCCTGGGTGTGCACCCTGTGGATCTTTTGTATAGGAACTTAGGCTCCTTTGTTCCCTGCCTGGTTTTAAAATCATTGCAGTTGCTTGGCAAGTTACCATCAGAGA